CCCCCCCCCCCCCCCCCCCCCCTCCTCTTCACCTACACACACACACATACATTTACAGCCTCGCCCCTTTGCCCCTGCTGCTATCTGACAACTACTCAACATGTGGAAAATAAAGAAGAGGTTTTATTTAATATGGAAAATAACAAAAGGAAAGCATGAAGAAGAAATGACTTGTCGAGACTGGATGCAACATTTTACCTGGGAACACACGCGCACACACACACACACACACACACACAAGCTTCAGCCCTCATCAGCCCCCCTTCCCTCCCCACACGACATCCTACCCCGCCACACACAACCACCTTTCGTCTTACTCTCTGACACCTCCCGCTCCCACTTCCTGTCCCCTCCCAGCTTTAAGTACGTCTGTCTTTATTTTACTGCTGGACTATTATTCTTGTACAGACTGTAAAATGTATTATTTTGTACAACTTTATTGAAGAAAAAAAATTAACTTGTAGAAGATCCCTGTGCCTTGATCACGACTGTACGTGTAAAAATGAGCTAATATGTAAGTTATGTTTCACTGCGCTGTACAGCTGGACGGGTCTGTCCCACCTCGTCCGTGCTGGCTCGCCCCTCCGCTGGAGGCTGGGGGGAGGGGCATCGGATCGGGGCGGAGGCCTTTCGTCTGTTGCTTAGTTTATTTTATTTTTTTTCTCCCCTCCCCAGATTTGTTTGTTCGTTGATTCATTTGTTTTGCTTTGACTCTCCTCTGGTTTATATAATAGGATTTGAAAAGAAAAAAAAATAAGAAAAAAAAAGATAATCAGACACACCACCTTAATGCTGTGTAGTGAAAGATACTGAACCCTAACACAATTTAATATATATAAAATATATTTCAGATTTTATATTTTATATATATGCACTGTACACTTATATCTATCCCCCCTTGTGAGCTGTCCCCCAGGTTTCCTTTGCTTTCTGTCAGTAACATCTGCATACATTTTTCGGAAGGTGGCGATTCTGGGTGCAATGGGATGGGTATTAATTTGTTTTTGTTTTGTTTTTTTAATTTTAATTTTATTTTAGCTTTAACTCTTTTGAAGGAGACGGAAATATCCAGTTGCAAAACATTGCTTGTTTCTACATAAACCAAATTCTTTTTGCTTAAACAAGAAGAAACAGTTGTATTAGTGTTTGGTTCATTCTCAGGCTGAGTTCACCAGATCCTCTCTACGTCTGCATCACACGCACTCATCTGCCAGTTTATTAGGTACGCCTGTCTTAAAGGTCCAGTGTGTAGGATTTAGAGGCATCTAGTGGTGAGGTTGTAGATTGCAACCAACTGAAACCTCTCCCATGTGCCAGCATATAATAGAGCTACAATGGCCGACGCAGAAACATGAACCACCCAGTCTAGAGCCAGTGTTTTGTTTGTCCTCTCTGGGCTACCGTAAAAACAACATGGCCGACTCCATGGAAGAGGACCTGCTCCGTTTGTAGGTATAAATAGTTCCTTCTAGTAATACAATAGTTCTTATTTTCAAGCTTATCTAGACCAATGAAAACAGTACTGAATATTATACTCTGTCTTTGCCAAAATATAACCCTAAATCCTACATGCTGGACCTTTAAAGCTCAGTCTAATATACTACAGTCCTACAGTGAATTCTTCTGTCATGAAGGTTATAATGTTCGATGAGAGGTGTTTCTTCTATTGTGCCCACTCCATTTATATCAGTGAGGGTAGACTAAATATTGGACAGACCTTTCTCTAAAACGATGCAATTAATATTTGTAAATTTAAATTACATAGCACTCACCAAAACCAGAGATCACAACGTGCTTTAAAAGAGAAAAAATATAGAAAATACGTACACAAATCAGGGTTCCTGCAGATCCTAAAAAAGTTTTAAAAGGAACTGAATTCATTCATCTAAAAATATGGATTTAATCGGTATTGAAATGTCTCTGATCAGTCTTTCAAAAGTCTTGAAATTGCTTAGACATGGGAAGTAGGATTTATATTATTTTTTCCTGACGTTGCACTGTAAAATTAAAAACAAAAAAAAAAACAAAACGGTAACTTCTATTGTTGAAAATAATCTACTGAAGGCCTCTTGCACTAACTATTATTTTTTCCTGACGTTGCACTGTAAAATTAAAAACAACAAAAAAAACAAAACGGTAACTTCTATTGTTGAAAATAATCTACTGAAGGCCTCTTGCACTAACTAATTACTGTAAAATTGGTCTTGAATTTCATTCAGTCTTCAATTTAACTTGTCTTTGTAGGAACCCTGATATAAAGTCATACACAAACACAACATGAGAAAAGTGGACTGTAAAAATTTAGATCAGTTAATACAAGCAACCTTTTTTTTTTTTTTTTTTTACCTGTGTACACAAATAAATATACACATGCAGACAAATTACCTAATTTAAGTAAGGTAATGAATACATGTACAACTACAGCCTCAGTAACAATAAAGTTCAGTCACCACCTGTGTTAAAAGTTTAAACAAAAACTGAACATTATAACATTTATGAAAGTAGGATTTCTTGTCGTCCTGTTGTATCAGACTGCGTTAGTTCTATCCTGGTGTACCTAACAAACTGGCAACAGAGTGTAAACTAATCTGTGTTTCTGACACTCGTCAGTCTGGAGGAATGTGACGGTTTTCACCTTGAAATTTTTGGCAAAGTCACTTCCTGCACAACTCACTCAACACGACACAAGGGATGAATTTCAGCGGAGCATACAGAAACAGTTAGGACTGAAATTCTCTCGTCTCGATGACATCAGGGCCTTATTTTTCAAGTCTTGAGGTGTTGGAGTTGTTTAGCATAATACACTTATTAATTATAATTCACACATTCACACACTGACTGGCTTTCCTGGTACATGTTATCAACTGTATAGTTATTTAACTTCGTCAGAGAGATCTGAGTCCCCAGGTTTCCTTCTCTGGTTTAATCCTTCCAGATCTGCAGCAGTGATAATGTGAGAGAAGAGATCACATTCACTGTTTATTTTTGTGTCAACACCTCCTCACCTGTGTTCTCCTGAAGGCCTCCCACACAGGCTGCAGCAATAAGGGTTTAATTTTAGCTCAAAAAGAAGAAACTCCCATCTGCCTTTTTCTTTCTATTTTGGCATCAAGCGTTTTCAGTGTTTGTTGGGTTTTCCATGAGGAGAATTTTTCCTGTACATTTTGTACAAATACTTAAATTAGATGTTGGAGATTGACATATAGCAAAGTCACAACAACTCTGAGAGACACGCAAGTACATACATATCAGGGTATGAGATTTTAGATCCAGTTAAATGTACAATATGTTCAGTCAGTGACTTATTGTTTATGTCACTGTGTATTACAAAAGGAGCAACATTATGTAACATGCTATTCAAAAGCTATCCAAACTATACCACGGTTTTGAGATCGACCGACAAGCTCCTGAATGAAGACATGAAGACTGAGAAGAAGATTCAAATGTAAGAGATGAAGCTGCAGCGGAGGTTAAAGAGAAACAAACAGTGTCACGTGCTCGTCTCACGTTCGTAGAAACCTTGCTGACACTCCATCTGTTTCCTTGTTGGAGCAACAGGATTATGAGGTGAAGCAGGTAATTCCTCCTTGAGTAACAAGACCCACTGACACTTCCAGAGTTCCAGTGTATACGGGCCGACAGTCACCTCACAAAGAACTACGCTATTGTTTCACGATGGTTTAATATTACTCCTGTCAGTGTGAAGAATGGAGAAGTCTGTAATGGAAGGTGAAGCTCAGGTGAGGCCACACCTGTTAACATAAGACACAGGGAAATTGTATCATCTGCGGCAGTTTACAAGGGGCCTGCTGCATGTATTTAATCTGCATAGTATTGCACCACCCACTGTGTTGGAGTGACTGGGCTAACACTTTCAGCTAACGCCATACAAGTGACGTCAAAGGGTAAATCAGGACTCAGTCATGCAGGGTGGAAAACTGTCTATTAATTCAAACTTTGAAATACACTACATGGCCACAGGTATGTGGACACCTGAACATTACAACTATATGTGATTGTTGAACATCTCATTTAAAAGATATGGGCAATAATACACTGCTATAACAACCTCCACCCCTCTGGGAGGGCTCTCCTCACGGTTTTGGGATTTTGCTGCAAAAATTTTCTCATATTGAGGTCAGCCACCGATGTCAGGCGGTAAGTCTAGGTTCACAGTCAGCTTCCTTATTCATCCCTTGAAGTTGAGGCAAGTACTTCCACACCAAATGAGGAAAACCATTTGTTTATGAACCTCAGTTCATGCACAGGGACATTGATATATTGAAACAAGAATGAGTATTCCCCAAATTGTTGCCACGAAGTTGGAAACACACTTCCGTCAAAACCAGTTGTTGTCATTTTTTCAAGTAAAGGACCCCTAAATTGATATATATTGATATACATTTGATTAGATTTCACTTCGGGGACCTCCATCTTAAAACCTTTTGGTTGTTAGATATAATGAAGACCACAATTCTTTAGTTGCCATCAACATTTGAGGAGACAACCATGGAAGAATCGAAACCTATTATCAGAATAGTCAATCTTGAGACTTTTACTCACACTGGCTTCATTTCTATCCTGAATAAAATAGTGAAAGTAAACTATTCCCAGTTTTTCTGGGGTGCCCCTGGAACTCACTTTAGGACCCCTGGCTGAGAACCACGAGTCTAGACTTTCGTTATGTGTGGTAGCATTGAGATTTCCCTTAATGGGGACCAAAGGGGTTTTGTCCAAGCCATGAAAAGCAG